AGGCGCACATAGCGAGGTGGCGAATGTGTATAGGCGCCGGCGTGAGGGTTAGGGCGGAGGAGGTGCGGAGGTAGTCGGGCTGGATGGAACTTGGCTTGGTGTAGCAGCGTCGACATCATTGGGGAGCACACTGCAGCTGGTGGAGGCGGGGACGGTCGGGGTAGATAGAACGGATAGATCCAGACTCGCAGTGGCGTGCTCTGCAACGACTCGCAACGTTGGAGAGGTTGAGAGCGAGAGATGTCAGCCGATTGATCCGACATCTAGACTCGTTACCAGTCTGCCGTACGGAGTGCAATAAATGTGGCGAGCACTATTGCCGTAGGCAGACTGGTACTTCTCGTTTGATGGCATTGAGCGGGGCCTCAGTTTGAAATTTAAGTCTTCTTTGGCTGACGCCGCAATCTTCGGCGATCCCGGCAATCACGTTCAAAAACTGATTTCTCATCTAATCCTGATTCAAAGATATGACCCTCCCAGGGGAGGAAATGAAAAAAGTGAGGCGAAACAATGGAAGAGATTAATTTCCTCTGCATTATGCAGCTTTCACCGAGAAAAAACGAGGCGAAAATGAGCCCAGACGCGAAAATGATCTGAATAATAATAGTAAATTTCAAACTCAGGCCCCGCTCAATGCCATCAAACAAAAAGTACCAGTCTGCCTACGGCAATAGTGCTCGCCACATTTATTGCATTCCGTACGGCAGACTGGTAACGAGTCTATCCGACATCGACCATCCGATTCATCCGAAATCCGAATGCCCGTTTCTGACTACATAATTTCGGGTCAGGAGAAAATGACGCTGCTTGACGCGGCTTGACGCGGCTTGACGCGGACTGACGCGGCATTGACGCGGCAATCCCTAAGCCTAACTAAGCCCGACTAAGCCCGACTAAGCCTGACTAAGCCTGACTAACCAACTTCGGAATGCATTGAACTCCCGTTCTACAGTACATTTCAGAGTCTACTGATGACCTACAGGCTCTAAACCTTAAATTTAAGGTTGCGGGTGTGATATTTTAGAAAATTCTCGTACTTCAACTTCCTTAATAGCACGGGAGATTAGGTTCAACATCAAACTGAGTTTCACCGTTCTTTGCTGACCATTCGGAAGTAAAATTTCAACAATTGAGGTCCCTCTCAATGCACGGCAATGTCGCGTCAATGTGTGTCAGTGCCGCGTCAACGCACGTCAGTGCCGCGTCAGTGCCGCGCCAGTGCCGCGTCAACGCCGCGTCACTGCGCGTCAATGCGTGCTAGTGCCGCATCAGTTGCACGCTGCATTATTTCCTTTCGGGTATCCTCATGCATCGAGAAATCTACAAAAAACCATGTCCTGCTTGATTGCGCAGGTGTCATCCCCAGGTTGGTTTGGGCGGGTTGAATATTGTATAGGAAGGACTCGCTCGACCCTACTTTCGCTAATCTGGCTACTTGGTTTGTCCAGGGCATAGTTAGGGAGGGAGGAAGGCCTGGAGAGAACTGGGTACCACAGGACTAACACAATCTCACGGTAAAACACACCCGCCGCCAAGCAGGGAGGCAGCCATCCCCTCCTTTGGTTCTTTGCTATACGCTTGGATGACTCACCCACCACAAACTGCATGCAATCATTGTAGAAGATATCTTGAGCGACTGTATTTCAGTGCTAACTTTACGAACCAGTTTCGATCGTAAAGTTAACACCGTTGTATACGACCACCTATGGCATCACTTACCATTTTTTGCGAGTCGTCACAAGAAATCATTCCAAGAAAGACGGTTTCTAGAGAAAGAATCTTTTCATGTAAGGGTGAAATAAAACTCAGTAGCGTCGTCGATGCCATTATCCGAGCTCGGTTTATCTGGGAAGTTGGTTGATCTGATGTGATTGGCCGATGTTTGTCTCGGATCAAGGTGTCAAACACGCCACTTGGCTCCCGCCGTCATCTGACAGCTTTCCATTCATTCTCGCGTCTTCAATCTGCCAAGATCCTCTCCTTACTTCGACTGAGACGACTGAGTAGTTGATATATACCCACTGACCGTGCTCGGCTCGCTTACCGAGTCCATTTTGGACAGCCAGTTGCATTTACTCTGCATCTCCGTCGACGGCCTCATAGTAATGCTGCGATTCGACCGCAACACCAGCCAGGAATTCATCTCATCTACTAGGCTCCGTGTGATATCAGTGCGGCCCATTGGATGTAAACTGCGAATGAGGGAATGATTTGAATCATTTTTGTCGAAGTTGTGTTCCGAAGTACGGGCCAGTTCACACCACCGTTGAAGGCACATATATGTAGCGATGCCGCTACGCAGGCGGAGATAAAAACCGCCTCCATCGCCCGCACTGGCACAGATGCGTGCAAGATGCCGTGTTACATTTAGCCTGGTTGTGCAAGAATTTAGTCTCTCCTAGACAGATGCTTCAACAATTTCCACCTCGTACCTCGGTTTGTTGAAGCAAGAATTCCACTGTCTGTATTCAGAACACGAGCAGTTATTGCAATGGGTTGGCGAAGCCTTTTGCTGATCATTCTAGGCAAGATAGTATCCTGTGTCCTGACTAGCTGCGAAAATCTGGTGTAGGAAGCGGTTAAAACTCATTTGTACTAACCAAATACCGACTAAGTACTGACATCCGAGGAAATTTTGGGTGGGAATTTTTTGGGTCCAAAAGATGTAATGGAACAAGTAATCCTTCCGCCAACTCGGATCTGGCCCTGGAGTGCAACCGATGGATAGTTATGCGCAGCGCGCCGATGCCGCGTCAATGACACAGCCACCGCCGCGCCAGTGCCGCGTCAGTCCGCGCCGGTCCGCGTCAGTCCGCGTCAGTCCGCGTCAGTCCGCGTCATTTTTACCATACCCCATAATTTCATTCCACAAAGGGAATGACATGTCACTGGCAACCGCTTCAAGTCACGTCCCTTCATTGCTGCTTGACTTCGCGTTTGTGATGGAATTATGCCGAGCTCAGGAGAGAAAAGACTTGGCTCCGGCACTGCCACCAAGCTCGGGTTGTTGCGTGGTTGCCACGCTTCGAACACGATCTCGACGCAACACATTCAAAACGTTGTTTATTCGAGGCTCGATTCGTCTCCAGGCGCCAGCGAAGCCAATAATCATGCCCACAAAAGAAAAAAATTGGGTTACATATCGACCCTCAAACCCTCGGGGGGATTCGAACCCCCCTCTACCCACCGTACACGTTTGAGTATCCCGTAGTGTGATCTCCATTGATCAACGAGGGCCTTCTCTGCCTAGAATGCGACTAAAATGAATGGGGTGAATTTGAGTGTGTGTGTTCGCCATTGATCGACTTCCTCTGCCCTGACTGGGGGAAGATACTGATAAGTCTCCAGTAAAATGGTCGAGAAGCAGAATTTAACATGCCCGCAGCCCTTAAACCTACCGTCAAGCTTCAAAGTGCGCAACCGAGGTACTGTCCGTTATGATCAATGTAGGGGAAAAAATATTGGACAAGCGATAGTCGCGTCGCCTATGCCTTCGAGGGGAGTCGAACCCCACTGCCCACTTATTACATTGAGACCGCTTTAATAATCAACGTGGGTGATCTCCATTGATCAACGAGGGCTTTCTCTGCCTAGAATGCGACTAAAATGAATGGGATCGATTTGAATTTGAGTGTTCGCCATTGATCAATGAAGGCTTCCTCTCCCCTGACTAGTTGAAGAGAAATCACGAGGAAAATGGTTGAAACAGAATAGAACCACCCATAGTAGCCCTTATACCTGCTTCGAGCTTCAAGTGCACAATCGAGGTACGGTTTATTATGATTAATGTAGGGGGGAAAAAGGCTTGGAAAACGTTCTAGTGCAAAATAAATGGGATAGATTGGTGGGATGCAAGGCGGGAAAAAGTGTTTCATTATAGATCAAGGCCCCGGGGGTATTCTGACCCCACTATAGCTACCACTACCTCTATCTGTTGACAGCACTCTCCACAGAGGTGATCTTCGATGAATGACGAGGGAGCGGTACACATAGATTAAAAAAGGAAGAGGAAAACTCCCCGGTATGCCCTCGGGGGGATTCGAACCGCCTCTGCCCGCTGATATCCGCGAACGAGATTCATTTGTCGAGGGGATCTCCATTGATCAACGAGGGCTTTCCTTACCCCCATTTATGTCCACGATATTGTTTTCAATTGCTGGCCCATTGGGTGTGGGCGATCTCCATTGATCAACGAGGACTTTCTCTCCCAATTCTCACTCGGCTACTCAGAGGAAGATCTGCCAGAGGAAAAGGGAGAGAAAGTAGAATTCAACATGCTACAATTGACGAGGGCTCCCTCTATCCAGAATGTACCCAAATGAGTAACACACATCGGGGAGGCAAGCCCGAGTAAAATGCAATGGGAACATTTGATGCCCTGGGGGGATTCAAACCCCCTCCGCCCACTGATTCCGTTGTCACCAACACCAGCATTCAACGTGGGTGATCTCCATTGATCAACGAGGACTTCCCACCTCACTCACACCTTGAATTATGAGCACATATCTGAGGGTGAAAGAGGAAAAAAACAGGTTCATATCCTCACTATGCCCATGGGGGGATTCAAATCCTCTCCGCCCACTCTAACAAGAAAAACTTAATACACAATCAGTGTGCGTGACCTCCATGGTCCACGAGGGCCCCCACCCAATTCTGACCAGGCTAAATGCAACAGAGGAAGATGAGGTAGAACTAAAATGGGGGGGGGGAACAGAATTGAACACGCCCGAAGCCCTTATACCTATCTGTCGAGCTTTAGGTGTGATGTGCTGTCCATGGATGTATATAGGAGAAAAAAAGATTAGACAGCTGTCATCGACCATACCTTCGGGGGGATTCGAACCCCTCCGCCCACCGATTCCGTTGTGACCGGTGCAACAATCAATGTGGGTGATGTCCACGGATCAACGAGGGCTTCCCTACCTCGCTCACATCGTGAATCGAGAGCACATATCTGTCAAAGGGTAGAAGAGGACAATATCAGGTTGATATCCTCCCTATGCCCTCGGGGGGATTCGAACCCCCTCTGCCCACTGATCTTCATTCCTGCTGTATTAATTTGTACGGGTGATCTCCATTGATCAACGAGGGCTTTCCTACCTAGAACGTAAGTGACACACATAAATAGCATGTATTTGAGTGATGGAAGGAAGCCAAAAAGTTATCGCAACGTGCCTCATGCCTTCGGGGGGATTCGAAACCCCTCCCCCCACTAAGTCCGAAACCTTATACTTATTTCTCGTGGGTGATCTCCTTTAATCAACGAAGGCTTCCTACCCTGATTCTAGTGCAAATAAACGGCATGGATTGGTGCGATGCAAGGCGAGAACAAGTGTTTCATTGTAGATCAAGGCCATTCCGATCCCTCCATAGCGCTTGCGACTACCACCTCTATCTGTTGGCAACACTCTCCACGTGAGCGATTTTCGATGGACGACGAGGGAGTGGTATACATAGATTTCAGCCAGGGTCAAGTGCACATGTCTGCGAAAGAAAGAAAGAGGAAAAATGTGTCTTTCCACGCTATGCTCTCGGGGAGATTCGAGCCCCCTCTGCCTACTGATTTCGTTATCATCAATGTAATAATCAACGTGGGTGACCCCCATGGTCAACGAGGGCTCCCTTTAGCCCACTTACAACCTGAGTAAATAACACGAATATTTACGAGCAAGGACCGAAAAAGCACATAGTCAGCCCATGACCCTCGGGGGATTCGAAACCTCTCTGCCCACTGATCGTCATATCTGGCTGTATTAGTTTGTGCGGGTGATCTCCAGTGATCAACGAGAGCCTCCTCCCCCTCTGATTTAACCAAAATAAATTGGATAGATTTGAGTGTCCGAGTATTGATTCATTCTAGGCTAACCAGCAATCTGCGGCCACTGATAAACTACTTCGGGTAAATGATCTCGATTGAACAACGAGGGTTTTCCCTACCCAGAAAAGCATAAAAAGGAAGGGAATCCGGCCTAGGCCCTCGAGAGGATTCAAACCCCCTCCGCCCACTAATCACTCTACTCGTTACCTACTAACTCGGTATGGGTGATCTCCATGATCAACGAGGGCTTCATGCTTTGATCCTCACCTAGATTGTATCAGAATTTTACAGCCGTTTCCGAAAACCTTGAGACGCGCAGTTTTTTTCCCCCCTCTCGCAACTTTTCATGAAAGGGTAAGGATGCCCATTTTTGGAAAGGGCCGGTTGGTCCACTTGGGGGGCAGATGACTGGGTCGCAGCGCAAACGAGCAGCGCAGCAGTGGTGGAGAGTCGAATTTTGGATGCCCACAGGGGGCCATGGTGGTTTATATGTGTGCATCGTGTCCGGGGAAGGAGGCCCTGGTGTGCCCTGATCTGCCGAGCAGGATCAACGCAATCACACAGATCTCTCGTCACTTCGGGCCCTGAGGCCCAGGCACTGCACAGCGCACGCGCTTCTCAGCAGCCCTCAGCAAAGGCGGACGCCTTCTACCGCCATGAGTTTGGCTGCGAAATTTCGAAGCCTTGGGACGGGTGGGAGTAGGTGGGATGGTGGCAGGCCTGAGTTGGCCGAAGTGGATCCGGAGTCGGAAGCAACCCGAGGAGCGCAGATCCATCAGCTAAAGTTGATCCCTCAGTTGTAGTATACAGGTTCCGTCGGCGTCGCAAAGAAACGGACCGCGGTGTGCTGCTAAGGAGTTAAATTTTCAAAAAAGAATGACTCATGAGGACACGAAGTTTGCGCTTGCTGTCAATTCGAGCGCACGCTCATTTCTGCTCTGATTTTGTCGGCTAGCGGAGCGCGCTACATGAATAAATATCACCGGGGACGAGCTGCGGTTAGCTAGGAATCTGATTTTCCGGACGACGCTTGTGTACTGAGCCCGGCCTCAGCCGGCATCGAAAATCGCGATACACCCAACGCGTTGAATAGACATTTCGTCACAAACACTGCGGTCGCCTTCCAGTCAGATTATTCACCTATCATTATGTTGCTACGCGAAAGTTCAACCGCGTCTAACATATACAGTTGAATCAAATTGTCTGCCCCGGGAGATCAAACTTTGCATGGGCCCCGCTCGTCTCACCGCTCACTGCCAACTCCCCCACCAACAATAAACAGATCCCTGGGGTCGTACTTCCTCTTTATAGCGCTCAACTTCGCATAGTTTGGCCCGAAAAACGTTGTCTGGAAGTTTGTCTCGAGAAGGTCTGCTTCGTTGGAGTACGCGCCCGCGTTGGGACCCGAAAGATTTTCGAGAATGGGGAGCTGTTGGGTCTTGAAGCGCTTGCGTAACGCGCCAATCCCTTCCAACGACGCGTTTTGCACCCACGTGTTTAAGACAACAATTTAGAAATAAAATGGGTCAACTCCTATGACCGTTGGTTGTATCCAAGAATTACTGACGTGCGTCTTTACCGTCCGCCACGCGGGGTGAACAGCCGACGAGATATGGGCATTCTCGGCGACTTGTCCTAAAATATGTGGTTAACAACGGCCGAAGGAATTTGGAAGAGGAAGTTCGAACCGCCTGCAACGAGAACCCCGAGAATCCTGAGGGAGTAAGGAGTCGGAGATTCATCTGAGAGATTATGAAGAACATACGACAGGGTTCCAGTGTCCAAAAGTTGTTTGTAAACCTCGCCCACCTTCGCTGGGGACACGGCGGACAATCAGATGTCACTTGCGCTTTGAGAGGCTACAGTCACTCAGACTGTCATTTGCGGTGCAAGCCTACTGTCACTTGCAATTCCTTTGGGTGCTTTCCTTTGTCTTGTGACCACCTGGCTTTTTTTGCTTTGTTGCCAATGGCCACACTGATATTTGGTCGAAATTCGGGTGAAATACATTTGCAGCTGAAAAGACGAGAGCTCTATGTCACAACTGTGAGTTTTGCGCCAATTTTCGAGGCCAAGATCGTCCATTGAGAAGTCGGATTCGGACTGGTTGATAAGATCTAGCCGAACCGATCAGTCAAGATTATATTTGAGATAGCGTGTGATAAGATAAGATTGAGCCGTCCCAACAATCGGAAAATACGGTAAGTCGAAGGCATATGGCATACTATTTTAGGAAGCCAAAAACATTGTTTCTAGGTTCCAAACCAGCCCCAGGTTTTAGTTGTCATTCATTTAACAGCCTCTTCAAATTGTAGAGTAAACCTACTCGACGTGTCGAGAATTCATGTAGATATTATGATTGTGCTTGTGCCCTTGATGAGGTCAGCTTCAAATAATTACATTCAGATCAACGAACCACTGAATAATTTCACTAAATATTCTGCGCGAGCCCTCCAAAGTTATGGGGTGAACTGTGTGCACAAAGTGGTAAAGTAAATCTCCTTTTTACGGCCAAATGCCATCTTGCTCTGCGATGGTGGAAAGGTATCCCAGAGAATGTTTGCGTATGTGTGCATTCCGCCGATCACCTCCTAACCGTGGCTAAATTGGTGCACCGCACTTGAGCTTTCAGAAATTCAGAACTTGCAGGGGCGAATAAAGAGTCAAAGAGTCTGAAGGTAGATGAAATTTGTGTGTTTGTCTAGGATGTCGCCAATTTACTCTAGGCAGCATCAGAGGCACCGCCAAAATCTGGTGCTCGAGGTCGTCCATCTGGATATCGTAGGCAGAAGCAAATGCTGCCTGGCGGTCCTCATCAGCATCACTCCCTAGGTTTTTTCCAACAGCATTGCCATCCTCACTTCCAGATCCCGCAATATCTTCGACATCCCCTCCCTCGTCGTTGCTGATAAAGGAGACAAGTGGTAGTATCTTTTCTTGCATTAGCTCTGTATCCTTCTTGGTGTGAATTTAAGGGATCCCAGATTAGACCGGATGGCACCCTTGAGACCGGCCTCGATGGAGGGTCAATATTTACACATATGACACCGTCAAGCCCGACATTTTTGGTTTTCTTTTTCGGGGGGTGTTCTTCTATATTTTTTTTTATCAGCTCCAAAACTGATCCTATGGGTTCTCTTGGGAACTCTTTTGCCAGTAGGAAACCATTCGGAGTACTCCACCACGGTTGGATTATCATCATCTAAGTCCTTACTAGCAGTATGCCCGTGCTACGCTACGGGAGCCTGTAATTTCCTTGCATGTCTTTTGGCCAGCGGGAAATTAACTCAAAGTAGTAGCAGTTCTTTGGGAAATCGTTCGAGACAGTAACCTAATTAGATCTTGTGGTTAGGTTGATACTTAAGATGCCACTTGTCGTCAACCTTTAGTTGACTCCTCGTAGCCTCATGGACAGTTTCATTCTGAGCCTTACAGTCATTTTATCATCATCAAGTCCACCAAGTGGTCATGGTTCCAATGTTTGAATGACCCACTTGTTTGACTCCTCATAATTTTAAATGAGAAAGAGTTGGTTTCTTATCTCAATGCTCAGATGGGTTTTTTTTTTGAAGTCCTCCGCTAAATACAGATTGATGTGTAAGTGCAGTGAATAAATTTATCCGAACCTCAGTTGGCACCAGGCAGGGTCTCTATGTCTGTGTGAAGACTTGTCTGCACCCCCTAGGGTGTTCTTCATCACCTTGGTAGTTTGGTAAGGCTAACCTCACTTACAGACCATCCACAGCTCAAATAACACAGCTCTACCTTATTTTCAACCATGATGTATTTCACTTTGCTTTGTCTGGTACAATCCATACTATAGATAGTTCTGGGACCATGTTTATTTTCGTTCTGATCTCTTCTCCACACTAGTTGAGCAGTTCAAGTTTTTCAGTGCAAAAATTGGTGAAAAATATCCAGGATTTTACAGAAGTTTTTCACTGAAAAAGGAGGTGGAAAATTTAAAACTTTTTCAGCACTTTTTGACTTGTTTCGAAATTTTCACCTTAAAAATGAAAAAGTAGTGAAAAAATTCTAAGTTTTTCACTTATGGTTTCAGTGAAAAAAGTGTGAAAAATAATGGACATTTTTCACCAATTTTTTCACTGAAAAACTTGAAATGTTCAACCAGTGCCAGTGTTTCCTATCTTATGTGAGGTTTACATGACAGTTATTATTGTTGTTAATTCCAAGTGGAACACGGTGGTTTTGATGCCAAATCAACAGTCCACTTCGTGATGAACACCAGGTCAACTTTCAACTTGCCATCACGG